AAAACAGCTAAACATGAGAGGTCTTTGGACAAAGTTTGTGTTCTCCATTCTTTACGCACCGGTTTGAGCACCGTTTCAAAAGTACCGGTTTGGCACCGGTATTGGATAAAACCTAAAAGATACCCATCCCTATTCTAAACGCTAAAAAAATCAAACCCAATAAATATTAAGATCCAAACTGTTGGAGTGTAGGTCTTTTGACTTGCAAATACATACATGTAGTATCAGCTCTTAGCTGATACTACATTGTACTAATAAATACAGAACATTTACTCCAAGTTAATTATGATTTATTGATAAGCATACACAGCTTTCTGTCACTGAGTTACATCCTGAACACTGGTGGCTCTAGGTATCTGGACCTAACCTTACAGCTACAGAGAGAATTTTTAAAAATATATACATTTTTTTGTTACAGAGCATTGTGTTCTACGTCCTGATCGGCTTTAGACCATTGTCAATCAATCTCCTCCGTGCCATGTCTCCTGTACAGTACAGAATGCGTTCAGCTTGTCAAATTTACATAAATCTTAGATCGCTAGCAGTGTGACTCTGAAGTGCTGTATTGTATGTTTGTAAGTTTTCTCCCCAACATACACAACAATGTCGATGAAATGTTTTGCACCGTCAAAGGGACCTGCTGCAGCACCCAAAAGGCAGAGGAAGATGCTAACCATCAAAAAGTTGGACTTCTGGACATGCTAAAGGAAGGTAGATCCAAGGGATCATTAACACCGCCCAAAAGATCACTGGCTGCCCTCTCCCCACACTGGAAGTTCTACACAACATCCACTGTTTTAAAAAGGCCCAAAACATCATAAAAGACACCTCACATCCTGGCCACTCCCTGTTTGAACTGTTGCCCTCAGGCAGACGGTAATGGGCAATCAGCGTAAGGACTAATAGACTCAAACACAGCTGTTATCCAACTGCAATAACACATCTGAATACTACAAAAAAAATGTCCATCACGCCACTCTTGTGTTAATCTATGCACGGTCTGAAGCATGTATGTGGGAATGTATGTGAATGTTTACTGTTACGTCTTATTAGTATTTTAAGTATTCTATCTATTTTATTTATTGAATTTTATTGTTTTATTTATATTTTGATATTGCTAGGGATGATGCAATGATTGGGGACCATTGTTAATTTCGTTGTACCTGTGACAATGACAATGAAGTTTCTGATTCTGATAGATCATAAGGCGCATTATGCGAAACAAAACAGTCAGATAAGGCAAACTTTACTCATTCTTCTTGCTTCCTCTACTTCCATACCATTGATTCATTAATGTTGAATTCTCGCGCAGATTCTGGGTCAGTTTGACCCAGTTTTTTTGAGTTCTCATGTTTTGGTTTGATTTTGGATTTTGTATTATTATTCTGAGTCTTGTGCTTTGTTGAGTGTTATTAGAATTCTATGTTTTTGTTTATTTGTGTTATGGGATTAGTTCTTAGGTTTTCTGTCTAATGTTTAGTGTAGATTTAGTTCTGTGTCTGGTCTGCGTTTTTTGTGTAGTTGTTTCTTGTTTCTTGTTTTATTGTGAATGTCTGCGAGTGCCTGTGCGTGGATCCTCATTTATTTCCCCACACGGCTCACTCCATTCGCCGTGACAGTACAGGCCAGCCAGATTATGGATCCAGCAGCATTCGCTCCACCCAAGGAGCTTCAGGAGGTCATTATCGACTCTGCTTCGAGATTAAATAACCTGTGGCTTGAGCATGAGGGAGAATCATTTCTCTACGCTGTGGAAGCCAGGCTACAGCAGCTTATTTCTGGTCACCCCTGGCTATTGGACTCACTGCACCCGCTTGTACAGGATTTCATTCTCCGTGAACTTCACCTTCACCCCCCGCCACTACCGCTCGCCTG